AGCAATATTGGCTCTGTTTATTTCAGTGATGCTTACAATATGTCACTCTGACTTCTAACTGGCCCCATCTTGCCACTCCCTCGTAGAACCTTCTAGTCCTGGCCTGGCCTGGCATCAGTGCTGGTCTGCTAATAGTGATGATGCAATTTCTCGTAGCTGCAAACTGGAGGTGCTCACCTGTCAAAGGGAGTCTCCAAAATAAATGTGGTAAATGAAATCCTGGTATCACTCTGGCTAATCTGCTTTGTGTATTCCTAAAGTCCTGGGCAGAGGCTGGGCATGGTGGTTCACACCTGTAATCCCAGCAGTTTGGGGGGCCGAGGCAGGCAGATCACTTGAGATCAGGAGTTTGAGATGAGCCTGGGGTATATGGTGAAACCCTGTTTCTACTAAAAATATAAAAACAGCCAGGTGTGGTGGCGCACACCTATAGTCCCAGCACCTCGGGAGGCTGAGGTAGGAGAACTGCTTGAACCTAGGAGGCAGAGGTTGCAGTGAGCCAAGATCATGCCACTACACTCCAGCCTGGCGACAGAGCAAGACTCCGTCTCAAAAAACCCCCCAAAGCAAAGTCTTGGGTAGAAAGAGCAGAAGGAGCCCTCTAAGATCCCAGGTGAAGCTGTGAGGGCCTGGCTGGCAGAATCTGGCTCATGTGTGAGGCACTTACTCAGCTGACTTCCAGAAGTGCCCGGGATGGGAGAGCCGCCGGTTCAGCTTGGGAAGTTTCTCCAGCATGTCCATCAGCAGGCTGAAGCTGGGTCTCCCCTGCAGGTTGAAAGCCCAGCAGGCCGACAGGATCTCCTGCAAATGGAGCTGCCGTCAGTGGTGCATGAGCCGGCTGGGAGGGAGGGGGCACACAGTAGGGGCTCCACAAAGTGTCCCTTTGATGTTCTCAAGTACCCCTAGCTGGCGGCCCCCCAAACACCCTGCCGACATGAAGGGCTGAGAAGTACCTGGGTTTCAGAGAAGCACTCATGCTTCTGGCTCCATGTGAGATGCACGAGATTACCTCCCCTCCTTCCTTCTTAGATCCACGCCCACCCCAAAATAAGAGTAACCATGATGAACAGACTAGCAATGGGAAAGAGATCAGAAAAGGGGTTGTTGGTTTTCTGAAGATGCAAAGTGCAAGGTACAATGTTCACAGGTGAAATGCAAGATACTGGGAATATGTGCAGGGCGGGGCTGCAGCGGAGGAGGGAGCCTCAGCATTAGTGGAACGGCCGCTGGAGTGACAAGGAGGACTCAGTATAGGGGCAGCAGCTGAGAGTCAGCAGAACAGCTGTCCCAATTGGCCCCAGAGCAGAGCCCTTCTGACTGCGGCACTGTGCTGCCTGCTCTCAGGATCCATGCATGTGCCAGCACAGCCCTGCAGCCTGCTGATTCAGAACTGCCTGTGAGGAAAGGCCTATTCCCTGCACATATGACCAGGCAGAATACATACACCCACACAGATCAGCAACTCAGGCTTTTGCTCTTAAATACTAGACTCCATGGGGTTGCCTGCCTATCATGAAAACCAGACAGAGATCAAAGATAAGCAGATCAAGAAACTATCTCTGGAGGATACGGCGTGTGCATGTGCATTTGTGTGAGGCAGCTACTCTATACATAAAACAAGACCAGGCTGCAATAAAAAAGAAATCAACAAAGAAAGAAGTGCCTGAAATTAAAAATACAATTTCTGAATGGAAACATTAAAAGTGCTGGATGATAAAAATCAAGGAAATTCCCCAGATTGTGGGCTCAATTCTAGATAGGAACAGAA